GAAAAATCCTATTCCCCTTGTTTGAAGTAGTCAAGACTAGGAATCGGTGGTATATCTTAAATCCCGTAACGTACCACGAAAAGGTGATCTACCCAAGTTACGGGGCACTTGGTGAGGGTTTGTCTCCTGGACGAGGATCTTTTTTCTCGGAGAACGACACCGTCTTCAAGGATCTTTCAGGTGTCTTGGTCCAGCGGATCATCCTTGAGAGCCGACTGCGGCACTTGGTACGCTTAAAATTTCGGACGGAAACCATCCCGGGCCTGCCGAAGATTGGGCTGGAGCTAAAGTATACATACAAACAGTCTCTTTCACCGGAGGCAAGACTGATTGCACTCACACAGAAACACGAGTCTATCCGAAAGAGAATGGCTGCGTGCTTCATCCTCTCTTGGTCAGAGCGTAAAATTATTGACTGCTCAGGCTGAGTGTGAAAGCACTACACTGTTCAATCCATTGCTCTGTCCAGACCAGGGCTGGCAAATGTCATTTTCAATGAAAGATCTCACGCGATATTTACAGAGATACTTCTGTCACTATCATTGGATGAGAAAACGATGATTGTGCTTGATCATTGAAAATGCCAAGAAAGCTAATGATAGGTAGTGGCGTCTCGTGATAGTGAGAGGACCTGTTTTCTCATCGTCAAATGATGGCCGTGATATTTACCAGCTCTGGTCCAGACCCTAGGCGAGTAAGAGAGGTGACACAGTCGGAAGAAGTGTTAGTTTGTTTACTAAAATGAACCATGCCCATTTTGTTATGGCAAGTTTGCTATAAGAAATGCTCCTCGTGTTTATAAGCGAAATTCACATCAAAGATTGATTAATTGCGTAGGAAATCAGTTTGACACGGCATTTGTGACCAGCATACACCTTCCGGTCGTATGAAACAGGTCAAAAACTGCCCAAATCCGCTGATAAAAATTTTTGTTTTGAATTTCTGTATAGCAAAATAGTGAACTTTTCGTGAACATTAACGGCAAAGAACTCACCAACACTGGAAGACCTGAGTTCCTGCCCACCTGTCATTTTCCATATCGGTCCAGACCGTTTGTACCAAACGGTAAAGGACGAGACAATGAAAGAGCCAACCGCATACCTTCGCTCACAAGAGCATATGAGATGAGACATTTTTCCATAGAAAATGTACACTCATTCATCCATACCATCACGGAAGAATTAACGTGCTGACTGAGCTACTGACTGAGTGCTCGGCTGTCAGTGACTCGTTTACCTCCCGATCATTCGGACTCTCACAAAGCAGTGGATGATGAGGCTGATGGCAGTTCATATTCATATGAAAATGTCTCATTGAACCTGACTGTTCTGCGCACTGCTCTTGGTGCACCGAATGGGAGATTACAGTTTAATCTAGATTTTCCAAAATCAGCGTATTATCGTTGATGGAGCTTACCGCTATTAGAATGAATACATCAGGAATCGGAAATCCGTTTTAAAATTACCGGAGGTAATTTAAAAATAGAAACACATTTGATTTGGGTTTGGTGCTCATAGACTGAATTCTTGCGTCTAAAAAGAAGAAATTATTGTGAAGTAATGAAATTGGGTTGTTAGCGGAATGCTTTAATAAAACAGCAAAAAAAGGTTATCTTCCATTTAATTCCACTTAATTAATTTTGGTATCCATGACAGATACGTATTTCGACTACAATGTGCAGTCTTCATCAGTGGGAATGACACTGATGAAGACTGCACATTGTAGTCGAAATACGTATCTGTCATGGATACCAAAATTAATTAAGTGGAATTAAATGGAAGATAACCTTTTTTTGCTGTTTTATTTAAGAAATTATTATTTATCGGAACCAATAAAAAAATAAATAATGCATTGGAAAAAAATCTACTTATTTGATAAATCTATGAAATCGGTAATTTTTTCTAACTGTATCAAAATACTGTGAAAAATCTGTATGGCATCACTGACTGACTGTAGCGTTGTTTGCTCTTTTATTTTGGACATGTTAATGAGAAAAAAAAAATAGATGAAAAGTGAGAAACGAGCAACGGATTTTGGTACATTTAATTTCTCACTAAACCTTGCTAATTTACTCACAAATTCACATACAATTCCCTTGTACTCGCTGTTCAATTTCAATATAGGTTTGGAGCGATTTACTGGAAGTGGTTATGTGAGAGAAATGAGAAGACATTTACTCAGTTCTAGTCATTGTCTGAGTGGTTTTTCTCATAATTTTCACTCACTTGCCCACTTATGTTCTTCTTCTGCTTATTACTAACGGCATACTAGCTTATTATGTGCTCTCAACTTAGTGTTCTGGATGCACTTCCACGGTTATTCATTGCGAGCTTTCGATGCCTGTACCATTTTTGCATTCGTATAATTGTGAGGTAAGAACCCAGGCACCTCCAGCATGGTCGTGCTGTGTAGCTGCGCCTTTACCGACTGAGCTAAGAGAGGCCCCACTTATGTTCGTACACGACAAATATACGTGAAGTTTGAGTTCTGCTAACTCAAACCGGCACTTTGATCTGCGAGCTCGAATTTTAGTAATAAGGGTTGAAGGTAGCTTTAATTTGATTGCGTGCAATTCTTCGGGTTGTCATTACTGATCTCCTTCTCAAAATTAAGTTAGTTGTACTAAAGTATGTAATCACTCAACATTGAGTTCCTTCGCGGAAAACTAGTTATGGATTGTGGAAATCGCATTTTAATCTCCACGTTGATAAGATTTGCTCTTGAGCAGTTCTTCGTCAAAAGTCGAATCGGAACAACTCGACTTTCTCCGATTTGCATAATTGTATGTTATGGGTTCACAGTTTTACATAAATTTGGCCATTTTGGATGTTGTATTTTTTTTCAAAATCGCAGCTTAATTTTGAAATAAATTGCAGCACGAAAACGTCACTTGTGATCGAAGACAAAGTTGTAAAGTCTTTCTGGGAAAAATTTATATGGTATTTTTTGAAAGTTATTTTAAACCATGGACACTTGAAATCGTGGAATAAGATTTTTAGCCAAATATTTGATTTTTTTTTTCTAGCACGATTTTTTATGTAATATCTACAGAGGAGTTCACTTTCGAACCCCTTCGGATACGGTTGTGTTTTAGATTTGCTCTCTGTTTTGTGCGTGCGTTCGCTTTCGTAGTTTTCGGTTGCTTTTGCCTGATTGGCGCTGACACTCTGCCTCCCGGACGGTTATACGTGTGTGATTGATGTAAGTTTTAGAATCGAGAAAGAAAACGTGATTCATCATGTTTGCAAGCTACGTTGTTTGTTTTTTTTTTCTTCGCTTGTGCTTCCGGAACAGAAATTTGAGGCAACGCGAGTGATAGTTTTTTATTTCAGTTTTGAAAAGTTTTGGGTCCCGGGCGCAATTCTTTGATTTGGAATGGTTTGTGCTGATGTTTCCCCCTCTGTTGCTTAGGTGCCTGCTCTCGCTTTCTTTTGTTGCCGGTGTGACTCGACCGCGCTGATCTATTGTTAGGTTTTTGCGATGTGCATTGCTTTTGTGCTTGGAAAAAAAGCGAAGAAACGTGATATTAAGTTATTGTGTGGAGGAGGAATTGTTCAAAAATGACTAGAAAAAAAAATATGCGTGGAAGCATCGGGAATGCGCTCCCAGGTGTAATGATTTGCTGAGTACGTTCCAGTTGAAGATTGTTGAAAAGTGTATTTGTGGTGATGCAAATTATGGTTTAGATGACGCATGGCTTCAAACATTTTGTATATCCAAATAAAACATATTACATACTTAATACGCACAGGGCGTCGTCTGTTGATTATTGCCACGGGTATATCGTGGAAGTCCCAGGTACCCGGTTCAAGTTTTAGTTGGCGGCTGTGGCTCTTCTTGACCTTCTACCCCCTGAGTAGTAAGTGTGAATAAGGGCGCCTGTGTGATATTTTGCTGTACCTAATGTGGATATCTAGTGCATCCTGCTCCCATAACTTGTTGATGACACCCTGTCTTGCCTCAAAAAAATTAATCATTTGTTGAATTACTAGTCTTCACAACATAAAAGGCACCATAACGGAGCATGAGATTTGATCAAATTATTCGCAGTTCTACTTCTCTAACGCCCCCGGCTGGGTAAGCGATAGCAGCTGACACACACACAAACATAATATCTACAGAGGAAACAATATTTCAGTAATTTTAAGTGGTTATCTAGATAAAGACGCTTGTTTGCAAAAAGATTAAAAATCAAGCAACCTTGGTTTTAAATGCTCCTGTAGTACAATTTTCATGAGATTTATTTAAAACATAAATTATAAATATTGTAGATGTACTTTTTTGAGATATCCCAGTTTTTAACTTCTTTTTTAAAGTTTCTACTTAAAATTCCTTAACAGAAATAAGCGTGTTTATTTCGACGTCTTTTCGGTCAGAAGTGCTACAATTTATTGAAAAATGTCAAAAACGCCAATTTGATAAAAAATTAAGATCCAAAATTGCGGAATCTTGGCAAAAATGTGAATGATTGCCCATAACACATAATTATGCAAAGTTGCAGTCCAAATTTTTGTTTTATCCCATTTGGTCTGGAACTGGTCTCTTGCGACACAATATTTGAAAGACTGATAGAGACGTGCCTCTCAAAAGTATGTAAAAGTGAAAGTTGTATACTTTCTTCCTACCGTGGTCCGGATCTTCTTACCCATTCAGAGTTGGATGTATAGAGCTAGAAAGTCTGCGAATATCAAAATATTGCTTTTAAGTCAACATCATTTGGGCTGTTCTAGTAAATCGAAACCATTAACTCTCAAGCAACACCAAAGACGGTTCTGCCAATAACAACCATCATGCCCATCAGAAACCTCTGAAACGTTTTCCCATATCCGTCCATAGCATTAAATTCATTACGATACAAATGTGCAGAGTACATTGTACATATCATTTTCACCAACCGTCCTTCTTCCCTCCATTTAATCACCAACTCTTAAGAAAACCATGTCCACTTTTTGTACGCGCATTCGCTCACCTTAGCTCTATCTCTTTCTCGTCAATTTCAGCCAACCACTCCAGCGTATCACCCGAACCCGCCAACATATTACCAGGTGAGTTGCGAGTCCACATTTTGAGCTACGCGAAGCTCGCTATCAGGCGAACGATAATGTCCTCGCCCGAAAGTGCGTGTGCCTGTGCGATGTTGATAATTCCACCCGATGATAACTATATTTCAACCCGCTCGGTGACGACGGGTAAAGTTCCAAGAGCTAAATCGATTCAGTCGGAGGACACCACATGCATCAAGATAGCACCACATCAATTTTATCTTAATTGCGGTCAAGCGGTACCCTCGGTTTTTTCGCTACCGTTTATTTTTTTTTTTTTCGTGGATCCACATCACATCACGAGGATCGGAGGACGACGGACACGAGCAATGTGCGGTGAGGCTTATGTTTCGATGTCGATTTCCATCCGTCCGCCGCGTGGAATCTTGATATTACAGGTCCAAAGAGGAATCAAGCAATTTTAATGAGCTAATTAGGGACGAATTCGGGGTCGGATGATGGGTTGTAAGTTGGGTAAACAAGAGGGTTCGGTTGGCGATGGGGTGAAATTTGAATTTTTTTTTGTGAAATATTACGGTTCGTCGCTGAGTCGATCGTTGCAGTCTCCCCTTGATATATTTTTTTTTTGAGGAAAAATCTCTGATCCCAACATCGCCCGGTAACAATTACACTTTTCATTGCGCCTTCCAATTGATTTTGATGGGTATCGAATATGGTTGCAAGGGGGTTTTTTTTTGCAATGCAACAACTGCTTCGCAATGAACATCACCGGTGTTCATTAGCGTGATCGTTATTTGGTGATACGTACATTTCGCTTTTGGTTTACGGTCGGCAATAGATTGCTCTTTTTTTTTTGGTTTTGAGCACAATGTGCCAAATGGCGATGTAAAATTACTGATTAGTTACGGCGATAAAAAATGATGTTCCGTAAAACTGAGCACTGTTCAATGGCAGCCTTGAAATAGAACTCATTTCCAGGGTGATCACTCGAGAAGGATAACCTGGAAAATCTGGATGATTGGAGGATATTTTTTAATACCTATATAATTATGTTGTATTAAAAATTCTATGTCCGATATCTCGAATATTTCACTTTGAATCTATTTATTTATTTATTTCATCAACCGATGTAGACTAGTACAAATACATATACAAATTTGTTTTTCTTAAGAATATTAAAAAATATATTGTCAGCTATTATATTTTTACTTCCTACGAGTTATGATTCCGTATGGAGTTAAAATATTGTTTTAGTTTATGCCGAGACATTGAAAAGTCAATGGTTTCGCAGTATTGATTGTAAGACGCCATCATGCGATTTAATGGCCCAAATTTTGTATAATTTGTGCGATGATGGGTTACGGCAAATAAATTTCGATTTCTGAGTTGTCGAGTAGGTACATAAAAATTTAATTTTGATAAAAGTTCTGCTGAGTTAATGCGCTGCGAAACGATATCGTTTACAAACGAAACCATTGCATATTCACGACGCTCTTTTAATGTTTGTATGTTTATAAGCATGCAGCGTGCTTCATATGATGGAAGAGGAAATGATGTCCAACCTAATTTACGAAGGGCATATAATAGAAATTGCTTTTGTACTGATTCTAATCTTTCTTCGTGCGTGATTGAAAATGGAGACCATACAATGCTGCAATATTCCAGTATTGACCTCACATAGGCAATATATAGTGTTTTAATTGTGTATGGGTCCTGAAAGTTATAGCAAAAGCGCTTGATAAAGCCTAGCATGTTATTTGCCCTGTGAATAATTGTATTGTAATGGTCTATGAAAGTTAGTTTGGAGTCTAAGATAATCCCTAAATCCCTGACTCTTTCACATTTTTCTACATTCTGATTTCCTAATGCAATTGAAATGTTTGATGGTGTTCTTTTTCTGCTAAATGATATTAAGTTGCATTTTTTTACATTCAGTTCTAATAGGCTTTTTTTACACCATGTGTAGAATATGTGTATTTCACTCTGGAATATATTGATGTCTTCATCATTTTTTATTTCCAAAAAGAGCTTCATGTCGTCGGCATAGATTAGCAATTTTATTTTTTTGAGAATGAAGGAAATGTCGTTTACGTACAGAATAAAAAGAAGAGGTCCCAGATGAGAGCCTTGCGGGACTCCTGAGGTGACTTGAATTGGGGTCGATTTCTTTCCGTTGAATTTAATTATTTGTTGGCGGTTAGTTAAATATGATTCAAGCCATTTCAGGAGTCCTGGCTCAATTCCAATTTTTTTCAATTTGAAAAGAAGCATTGGTATGTCAATTCGGTCAAATGCCTTGCTAAAGTCTGTATAGAGAGCTTCTACGTGGTTTCCATTATCCATTGCATTTAATGAATAGTCTATAAATTCAAGTAAATGTGTCGAGGTCGAACGTCCTTTAAAGAAGCCGTGTTGCATGTCAGTAATTCTATTTTTGGTTTGAAGAAATAATTTTTCATTTACAATTGCCTCGAAAAGCTTTGGAATGCAAGAGATAATGGCTATTCCACGATAATTACGTACGTCAGATTTTCGGCCAGATTTAAAAATAGGTACTAAAAATGAGCTTTTCCATATTTTTGGGAAGGTTCCGGATTCCAGTGACATATTAAAAAGCCAAAACAATGGAGCAGTGAGTTCCATTGCTAGACTTTTTAAAAATACTGGAGGAATTCCGTCAGGTCCAGGACCTTTTGAGGCGTCTAAATTCTTTAAAGCCTGCAAAATATCCTGCACTTGAAGTTGATTGACGCCAATGTCCCTTGAAAATTCTGAATGAAATGCAAAATAATCGCGGTCGCGATCTTCATCGGAAAATGTCGTATAGATTTCTTGAAAAAAAATTGCAAAAAGCTTACAATTTTTTTCCGAGCTATCCCCGACACGTTCGTCAAGATGCATTATTGATGGAAAATTGTCAGATTTTAATTTGGTTTTTACGTAATTAAAGAAGTTCTTTGGGCAGGACTTTATTTCAAGTTCAGTTTTTGAATTAAATTCTTCAAATGCATTACTGATGGCTAAATCTAGTTGATCGCATAAGTCCAAATAGATAGCCAAATTTTCACTATTATTGTGTTTTTTGTAATGTTTATGTGCTTTCTGTTTTCGATTTTTTAAGTTTTTTATTTGTCTGTTATACCAGACTGGATTTTTTGTGCTTCTGTAGCGTCTTTTTTTCTTCAAAGGTATTTCTTCCAAAATTATTCCTGATAAAATTTGGTAGAAGATGTCTACAGCAGTTTCGACATTTCCTTCATTCCTTAGAATTATTTGCCAATTGACGCTGTTTAATTTATGTTTGATTTTTTCGTAGTCTGCTAATTTGTATTCAAAGACTTCCTCGTATTCGCAGTCGTTGGGTCTTTGGTATTCGTGTACAAATAAAGAATATTCAATTGCTGTGTGAAACGCTTCGTTTTTCCACAATGGGTTTAATGATTCGGTCACACAGAAATCTTCATAAATATTCGTTAGTAAAAAGTCCAAATAGCAATTTTGTTGATTTTTGATGTGGTTAATTTGGTTCAGTCCTAAATTAGCAGTTTTGTCAAAAATGAACTGCAATGTTTCATTCTTGAATAATTCTTCATGTTCGGTGCTATGCACTCTTCATTAATACGTTAGTTTTAGGGCATTGGTGTCTTCGTAGCAATTGTTTATAATTAAACAACCCTTCATTTTATGAAAACGTCGATTAGGGTGGTCCTCATTTCCATTGCAATCATGAATTACACTTTTTCGTATGAAGCTACAGGTTGACCTTCTGGAGCAAAGCTGTTTGTTTTCCGTACTGAATACCAATGCTACCGACGCCAGGGAGGCAGCTTCCACACCTGGACCCTACCTATCGACCCATCAACTCATGGACCGGGGGCCAACGGCTTTACTTCGCTTCCGAAGGAAGGTGCGATCAGAGATGTTTTGCTTCAGTAAATCCCGATGGTGCCATCTGGGATTGAACCCAGGCCCTTTGGAGTGAGAGACAGTTACGCTCACCAATTCACCACCGGCGCCGCTTGAAGCAAATTTATGCCAATACAAAAATGTCCGATCTCAAACTAAGGTACACAATATTAGTCAGGACATCATAGAAAACCATGGTTAGTCTGTAAACCATAATGATCTTAATCCATACGCCAGAGTCATGAGTTCAAATCTCACCCAGATAAAGCACGAATAGCCAAAGAAGGTTATAGTTATCCATAAATTCAATATAAGATATCCGGCATGATTTGGATACTCCAACAATGTTATTTTTGTATTTGTATTTGTATTTATATTAGAAATTCATCGGACATCGTGGTCTTCATGAATTGAAAATTAATTTAAAAACTATTACACTCTGCACAAAATACCATCATTCTTGTCGACTCCGTCGTCGGTTTCGAAAAGCGTTAAAGTCAAACAAGCTATAATTATCTTGGAGTCTTCGGCTTATCACTTCGATAGGATTGTTGGATCCATACAATGTTCGTCTCGGTGGTTGGCGCAACAGCTGCCTTGATCGCAGCACACATTGAGGGGCGTAGTTGTTGAGTTGACTCAGCAAATTAGGGCTGTCTACTGTGGAGCATAACATCTTGGCGCCAAAGATGACTTGGTTGAACTTGCGTCTAACCACTAGCGGTTCAATACCTAGCAAGGAGACAGCCGTAATGGATCCAACCATGGTAAGCTACGCAGTGCATTGATTCTATTCGTGAAACCCACACAGCATCCATACGGCAGAAGCAAATTCAAGAATAGATCTAACTAACGAGCAATACAAGGATCGTAGGCAGAGAGGGTCATCAAACTCACTAGCTATCTTGAATATAAATCCTAGTTGTCGATTTGCTCCATCATTTTGAATGCAAGTTGATAATCCAGTACTACACCCAAATCTTTAACATTATCAACTCGATTCAGTACAGTACCATTGATAGCATAGGTATGTAGGGTAGAGTTTTTCATTCTTCGGAAGGATATGACGCAACATTTGGACACAGTGACAGTGAGATGATTCAAAGCACACCAGCACGCACTGCTCCCTACAACTA